TTAAAACTCATGCTGGGCGCACGTGCATGAGTGCTCAGGATCCCAGGAGAATAGAGAAGGAATTGTGGCATGGCCATCCCCATTGGGGGGTGATTTCTCCCTGTCTCTCTATCTCTCTGGTGAGCGCACATGCCCTATAGCAAAAAATCTCTGTCTTTTAAAAAATGCACACATGGGGACCAGCAAGTGGTGTGGTAGATAAGGCATTAGACACTCCCACAGGGTTGACTATGATTCGAGTCCCGAAACTGGTGGCTCGCTTCCTCACTTTTTCTCTTTCCCTGGGTAAAGAAAAAAGAATGAATACAATTAAAAATAAATAATTCTTGGGACCAGCAGATGGCGTAATGCTAGGTCGCTGGACTCCCATGTAGTCGACCGTGGTTTGAGCCCCAGACCTGGTGGCTTAAACTCACGCCGTGCGTGTGTGCGTGTGTGCCCAAGATCCCAAGAGGAGAATGGAGAAGGAATTGCAGTGTGGCCACCCCGCCAGGGGATGATTTCTTGCTTTCTGTCTCTCTGTCTCTGTCTTTTTGGCAAGGGCATGTGCCCTATAGCAAAAACCTCTCCAAAAAAATTATATAAATAAATCTATCTTAAAAAAAAAAAGAAAAAACCACACACACAACTAGTTCTACTGATGGATGAGGGAAGACTAGAGTGGAGGCCAATAGGTTTTCTAGTCTGATGTGGCTCCAAGTAAGTCGAGCAATGCACCATGCCCAAGGACACCATGAGCAAAGGAAAAAGAACAAAACCAGCCATTTTTATTATATAAAATTGTTTAATGTCTTTCTTTGTTAAAATACACTGACTCCAGATGCAGTGGATCAGGTGACCAGATTTTTTAGGATTTCTACTCCACATCCCTGGTGCTGGTCACAGAATATTCACATCTTTCATTCCAAATACTGAGTGTGATGCGAATAATGTAATTGGTGTCTCACACATGGGTCTATAGATAGCTGGTGGTCACTGCACAAGGGATCAACAATGCAGGGTCAAAAATAAAATGTGTGGTAACTCGGCACTTTCCAAAAATAAATATATTGAGACACTAAGCTGACACCTTACATGAATCCAAATAAATAGAAGTCGATGCTAGCTCCTGTGAGGAACAGTTCATGCAGAGACGAGGGGCTGGCACACGTGGACAGCTGTAGCAGAAGGCTGCTCGAATCCCAGTGCCTCCCCACACGGCCAGGCCTAAGTGTGAGGGTGAAAATGACAGTAGCACACAGCTGGGTCCGGCTGCTGGGTTCCATGTTCCAGTGGGGCTGGAAGTTTGCTGTAACTTCTAACAGTTTCCAACAGGAAGCATAGAGTGGCATTTGCTGTCACTTCTCCCAAGCTGTGAGGCCTGTGGCTGACCAAGGAAGCTTAGTTTTCCAGCTGGAGCGGATGAACTCTCGGGTTGTTGATCTGGGGACATGAATTCCTTCAAATTGCAGTGCTCCTTGTGGTGAGGATTTCATCCTCCCTCACTGCAGTGCAGGAGAGCTTCAGGTTGTGTTTGAGCATCACGCCCTATTTCTCAGCCCCACTCCCACCACACGTATCTGCCTGCGGCAATGTTCAAAGAAACCGTCTAGAGCTGTGTGCCAAATTCTGACAGCAAGAATAAGCCTTACCTAAAGAGTTTATATACTCTCAGGAAGACTTCCAAAGGATGTAGACAAGGAGAGAAAGCTTATTTTACCACCATGCAGACACCCATCTAAAATATATCCCAGGAAACTATAGCTTAATGATATTCTGGATAGTACCAAATAGACTATCCTTCTGTGGGAGGCTGCGCACCAGCGAGTCTGCAGAGGTTTCTCAGAGAGCAAACAATTGCCATGACTGGTTCCCTTCAAAAAACCTGACCTTCAAAACCTTGCTCTGATTGGCCACTAGAATCCCTCAGATTTGCATATCCAGCACCTCATGATTGGTCCAAAAGCAACCAATCATAACCCACTGTTTACAACCAATCACGGCCCACCAGCATGTATATAACCACGATGCCTGGCCCACAGTAGCCAGACCATGACCCTGGAGAGCCTGAAGAGCTGCAACACTGCACAGTCTCCAGACAACCCTGAAGAGCTATAACACTACATCGTCTCCGGACAACCCTGAAGAGTTGTGACACGGCGTCGTCATCTCCGTGCTGCTCACAATAGACGACATGACCCTGAAGAGTTGTAACACTGCGTCGTCTCCGTGCTGTACCTTGCTGCCCACAATAAACGGACGACACTGGGGAACCAGCAGTTAGCGTAATGGCTATGTCGCTGGACTCCCACGTAGTCGACCGCGGTTCGCGTCTCGGACCCGGTGGCTTAAATCTCATGCCGGGCGCGTGTGCATGCGTGCCCAAGATCCCGAGAGGAGAATGGAGGAGAAGGGATTGCGGCGTGACCATCCCCCCTGGGGGGTGATTTCTCGCTTTCTGTCTCTATGTCTCTGTCTGGCGAGCGCACGTGCCCTATAGCGAAAAAACCCCTCCAAAAAAAAAAAAAATAAACGGACGACACTGAAGACACTGTGTCGTCTCCGTGCTGTAACACTACGCCGCCTGTCCCGGCTCTCTCTCACTCCTTCACTCAGAAAACCTGTTCGACTGTCCCCCGGGGGCAGGACATTCTTCAAACAAAAGCAAATATTGTTCCCTTGAGAAAAACCAGATGTGAGTGTTGTGGTTTATTGGTAATAAATAAAACAGTCCCATCAGTGCTATGAAGACAGGGCTGACGTGGCATTTAGTGGAGTGAGTCAGTACTGCCTCCATTTAGTACCATCACAGATAGCCCGCTGCTGCCGTGAGATCCAGCACATGGCCACACCACACAGGGCAGCCAGAGCAGGACCCTTTACCTGTCCAGTCAGTTTCATTCTCGCCATTTTCAAGCAGAGGTTGGGGTTAGGGAGAGACATTTCTTTGGTCTATGTATAGGAAAACAACTTCTCACAAGCCTCTGGCTCATGGCTACATTTGACAGTGTGAATTCCCTCAGTTACTTAGAGGGAGTCAAGGAGGGTCCCCCAAACCAGGAAGATAGAACTAATTGGGTGACAACATCTGGCTTTATCTGGAATGCCTCCCCACCCTGCAACTGAACAGTTGTCCCCAACCAGCCACAAAAGCCCCCACGCTTTACCAGTGAAGCCATCTTGTGACTCTGTGGGATACCCACATGTTGACCCATGCTAGACACTTCTGTCTCGTGCTATGCATCTAACAGACAAATCCTATTTTAGAAATCAGTTTTAGCCTTAGACTCACGTCTGATAGGTGCTAAGATTTTAAGACTGGAAGAAAATACAGAGTATAGGCTTCAGTTGCCTGCTGATCCCTCCAAGTGCAGAGATTCAGGATAATCTGAGCAGCTCAACCGATAGCTCACCTCTGAAGGAAGGGCCGGAACCACACAGCCCAGGCAACAACGTGGCTCTTCTCTGTCACCAGTGGGAAGGGCTGCCTGCCTTCTAGGGACCTATCTTGTGTATAATTTGTGTAGAGACCAGCAGGGAAGCTGCCCTGAAAGGATGCAGGATGAACGTAGAAAGGACGCAGGGTCACAGGCAGGGGATGGGGTGAAGGGCACAGAGGCATTCTTGGGCAAGATTCTGCTCTGCCAATCTGGCTGGAGTCTCCTGAGAAATGAAAACGATCTCTTGCTCTTCCTACTTGACAATCAGCCTACCGAGCTCCGCCACTACCAGTTGTATGACCTAAAGAAAACAGTCCCATCAGTGCTATGGGACTGCTGTGTGACCTCGGTCAACCATTCATCCTCTCTGGGCCAATGTGCTCATTCATAACAACAGAGATACTCAACTACTTCCCAGAGTTGTGAGACGGCTCAAGGAAGACTCATATCACGAACTACAGGACACTGGGCTAGACAAAGTGGCTGCCGGGACCAGTGCTAGCTAGATCCTTAGAGCCACAGAGATAGGGCTTTCCCTCTTTATCTCTAGGCGTGAGGAAACGGCCTGGCAATGACTCCTCTCAGGTCTGACCACTGTGCCTCTGCAGGGTGTAGCATCTGCTAAAGCGTGCTAAAACTCACCAGAACTGACAAAAAGCAAACTTCCCCTAAGTTCCACGATGGCCCGATGGGTCTGCACTGGGGAGCTGAAGACTCAGTTCTCCATTTCTTTTCTTTTAATTTGTCAGAGGGCACCATGCAGGAGTGCACTTGCCGGAGAATGAAAGAGAGTGAGAAAACACCCTCCAGGAGGATGGCCACACTGCAGTCCCTTCTCCTCCATTTCTCCCTCCTTTTGGTATTTTGGGCATGTACAAAATACGACACGCGTGCACCTGATGTGTTTCTCAAGCCACCTGTCCCAGGACTTGAACCTGTGCAGGTGTAACCACCTTCACCACACCACCAGCTAGCCCCTGAGTCTTGCGTTTCACCTTCATCTCCACTCCTTGTTTCTTGCCAGAGTTGTTCACTGAACTGTTTCGTAGCTCAACTGTTCTGAATTTCTGGACCCTCTACAAGGGAGCGAGTTAAAGGGAAGGAAGGAATCTCAAACCAGAGAGTTTGCTAATGCCGCTAGCTGAACAGGGCCTGGGGTAATAGTAAACAGTAAACTACGCTAGTTCATTTCCCCTTAGAAATGAAAAGTGGAGTAGGAACATGTTCCAAAGGCTGTCTCTTGGGGGAGATGATGACTCTTACGAAGAGAGAGGTATAAGTCTTGCTAGACATTGTGAATAACTAACGTTAAGCTGCTTTGGCTAAGCCTAGGAATGCCTGGCTGGGTACTGAGACCGGAAGAATGGAAGAAGAAAACGGGGATCTGCTGTGGGATGCCTGTAATTACCGCTGCAGAGGCAGGGCAGGCATGGAGCAAATGCTTTGCCATTCATTTATCTTGGATGAACGGTTCCTGGCCCCTGGAGCCCTTCCCCAGGGAGGAATCTGTGATGACAAGTCAGGCTCCATGCTTGGACTCCTTCACCTCTGCCCAACAAAATTAGCAAATAGCGAACTGGCCACCAGGTCCTAATTTTGTATTATAAAATGGAATTAGGAGCATAAATAATAACGAGTAACAAAACCCCAACCCGGCACAGGACCATCGTCCTCAGCCTCCTCTGCGCAGATCGATAAGTTTGGAAAGTTTTTCACAGTTTTCCAGCTTCAGCGACTCTGCTTTCTGTTTCAGTCGTTCGTCTCTGTACAACCCCGCCAGGTTTGTCAACTCCGACTCTGAAAGATAAGAGGTAAGCGATTCATCAAGGGAGTGGAGCTCCTTTGTTTCATTTCAATGCTTCAGGAAAGAAAACTTTCAATTACACTTAAACTTATTCATTCAAGAAACACGTATTAGGCACTACACCAGGTGCTGAGGGTTAAAGGACACTTGCGGTCCTGCAGGCCCACAGCATCTCTGATTTACTATAAAGGCACTGGCCTTAGTTCTTATCAATAAAACATTTGGCTCCAGACTTAGGACACCTGCACGTGTGCAGTAAGAGAAGACTTTCGCGGCCTTCCTACGAACGGTATTCAGATGACAGTTGGGAGAGATGGAGTCCAATAGCCTATTCCTGTCATCTGGAACAGAGACAGCTGCTCCATTCTCCCCCCGCATTACTGGGTCGTAACTCACACGTGCTAGCCGGCACACGGCCTGCTTCTGTGGGTGCGCTTCTACAAAAGGCCAGGCTGCTGGCGGCTGTCTTCCTTCCCTCCCCGTGTGTGGGGTCCTCAACTCAAAGGCCAAAGGCAGTTGGGCTGGCTGGCTGTCTGTCTTTCTTTCTTTCTTTCTTTCTTTCTTTTCTTGTTTGTTAAAGGGTGCATGTGCTTGCCAGAGATACACACACACACACACACACACACAAACACACGTAGAGAGAGAGGGAAAGTGAGAACTCATCCCCCGCCCCCCTGCGGGGATGGCCATACCACAATCCCTTCTCCCCGGTCTCCTCCTGGGATTTTTGGCATGCACACACACATGCCCAGCACAATTTTCAAGCACCCAGGTCTGGGCCTCAAACCACCCAGTTAGCCATATGGAATCCAGCTGCCTCAACCTCCATGTCACCTCCAGGGGGTGGGGGAGTGGGGCTCTTTTAAAAGTGAAATCATCTGTCTCTGGTAATTTTTGGCTCCTTGACTAAATGAATTTAATTTTCTCTTCATGGTGAAGGTCAGTCCATTTTTAACCAGGATGTAATTTCTGTTGTGTTTCTGGACTCCACCATGGTTTGGCAACCTCTAGTTTTTTCTTTTTTATAAGTTTCAGAGACATTCTTGGGAAAGAATGCCTGAAAAGCACCTTCAGAGAAGCGTCATGTGTTAACAGGACAACACGCTTGGATGCACATGACTTCTGAATGCTTCCAACAGCAGGCAGCTACTTAGTGCTTAAAGGACCACACTTGGGAAAATGCTATTTAATCATTTTGAAATATGCCTATCCATTCTTAACCATGCTGCTGACAGATTTTGTTTTTCTTGGTGGAATGAGAGGCACCTGTCTGATTAATTGGCAAACTGCTGAAAACAGGAATTAATATTTAGCCAGGGGGAACAATGGGCTTTGCTTTCTGAATAAGTTTCTACAAACACAGGACCCTGTCTGGCATTTCTACTCACAAGGATTCTATTTACACCAAGAAAGGCCTGAAGTGCAGAGTAAGTGCAGGACTCCAGGGTGAGGGGTGGATATGCATGACAACCCTCCCTCTACAATGGGGGCTGCAAAGCCTGGACTCTAGCCCAGCAGTTGCCTGGCAAGCAGAGGATCTCCCAGACTCCAAAACAATGCACCCTCACCCCTTGGAGAGGGTGCCTGCCATGCCTGCTGGCCACAGCTTGCCTTGGCATAGTCATCCTTGCAGGTGTGAGGTTTCACGGAGGACCGCGGGCCACACCCACATGTGAGCTCTGCTCCTGCGTCCTGCCACCTGCTTGGCACCAGCTCTATTTCCAGGGCCTCTTTGACACATGGGAAACTATTCAGGAGTCCTGAATAGTTCAGTCTCTGCCATTGGTCCTTGGGAATCTCAGTAATATCAATATATGAGGGTCTTCAAAAAGTTCACGGAGGGGCCAGTAGGTGACATAGTGGTTTAGGTGCTGGACTCCCATATAGCTGACTACAGTTCAAGTCCTGGACCTGGAGGCTTTAAACTCAAGCCAGGCACATGTGTGTGTGTGTGTGTGTCCAAAATCCTGAAAGGAGAATGGAGTGGAAGGGATTGCAGGGGGTGATTTCTCACTTTCTGTCTCTCTGGTGAGCACATGCATCCTATAGTGAAAATCTCTAAAAAGACCCCAAAAAGTTCATGGAAATGTGTAATATGAAAAAACTGGGCGTGGATTTCAGTTCGTGTGTGTGCTAGAGGGCATATACCCTTGCCAGAGAGATACAGAGAGAGAGGGAGAGGAGAAAGCGCCACCACCATAGGGAATGGTTGCATCGCAATCCCTTCTCTTCCATGTCTCCCTCCTTTCAGGATTTATGAGCATGCACCCACATGTTCCTGGCATGATTCTAAAGCTGCTGGGCCTGGGACTCAAACCACACAGCCATGTGGGATCTAGCTGCCTTGACCAATAGGCCATCAAGCTGACCCTCAATTTTTTTAAAAAATTATTTATTTAATTCCATTTGTTATTATCATTCTTCAATTTGACCAGACAGAGACAAAGGGAAAGGGAGAAAGCAAGCCACCAGTTCTGGGACTCGAACTATGGTGAGCCATGAGTCTAGCGCCTTTATCCACCACGCCATGTGCTGATCCCCATTTTTTTTCTTTTTCTTAAGAATTATTTTAGGGACCAGCAGTTAGCGTAATGGCTATGTCACTGAACTCCCATGTAATTCTTAACATTCTCTACATTGAAGACCATATAACAAGCTGATGAAAGATAACTACATATGGGAACCAGCAGTTAGTGTAATGGCTATGTCGCTGGACTCCCACGTAGTTGACCACGGTTCGAGTCCCAGATCCAGTGGCTCAAATTCATGCTGCACGTGGAGGAGAAAGGATTGCAGAGTGGCCATCCCTCCTGGAGGGTGATTTCTCGCTTTCTGTCTCTCTGTCTCTCTCTGTCTTTCTGGCGAGTGCACATACCATGTAGCAAAAACCTCTCCAAAAAAATAAAAATAAAAAAAAGAATTATTTTAGGGGCTGGCAGGTGGTGTGGTGGTTAAGGGTGCTGGACTCCCACATGGATGACTGTGGTTCTAGTCCCAGACCTGCAGCTTGCTTTCTCATTCCTCAGCCCCCCACCCCCCATCTCCTTCTGGTCAAAACAAATAAAAAGAATAAAAGAATTATTTAATTTAATTCTATTTATTTACTTTTTATTTTTTTAAAGAATTATTTTTTATCTACCTTTATTTATTATTATTATTTTCCAGTTTGATCAGAGAGAAAATGAGAAAAAGTGAAAAAGCAAACCGCGGGAACCAACAGTTAGCGTAATGGCTATGTCGCTGGACTCCCACGTAGTCGAC